CGATGCTTCTAGGGAACATCCACCAGCGGTGCAGGGCTCTCTCAGGTGGAATCAGAGTGGCAGCAGTGGCAGTACACCGTGCAATGCTTGTTGTGACACCCACTCTACCAGCTGTCACTTCTGAGTCCTCCAAGTCATCACTGGAGTCTTGTGTGCATGGAGCTGCTGCAGGGACCATGGTGGACACTCTTGTGGCCATGCATTGCAGGGTGAATACCAGTGTGGACCACTCAGGCACTGTGGCATCCATGATTTCTCTACTTTGCAAAGTGTGCAGGTGCATAGCAATGCCAACATTGCTGTTAAAGGGGCCATGTTGTCCTGGCGCACGTGAACATGTGCCGAAGAGACAGTGAAAAAAAATTAAAGCTGCCGCTGCAGGCCCATGCGGTTACTCCATTCCCATTTAGGGAAATCTTGGAGTCGGCAGTGCAGGTGATAAGGCTTCATTGCAGCCTCGGAAAAGCTTGGAAATGTCAGCTAGCTGCTTCCCCATCATCAGGGGAACAGAGTCTTATTTGTAAGTGGCTGATACCTCATATGTGGGTATGAGGCTGGGTGGATTCTGTCAGCAAATTCCAACAATTATTATTACTCACACAAAATTCTTCAAATCTGGCAATGGAGGTAGGGTGTACACACAGTCTGAAAATTGGGTTGGCAAATTTCCATACCTGATGCTTTTGCAAGAAAGTGTGAGCCCTCTTACCTATTTAACTATTTAACAGATGTATAGTGATTGGGAAAGCCCTTTGAAACAAATCTTAGTTTTCTATAGCTTTGCTATTCTCAAATTATTTTTCCTTGTCCACAAAAATAAGCAGACAGAGAAAATAGATAAATAAATAAATAAATAAATACAATATAAAGAGGCATATGGGGAAAGGATTTGGTTATAGATTTTTAGCTATCAAAAGAGTCCAGAATTCTCTTGAGAAATGCTAAATCAGTGGTTGTTTGGAACCTCACCCCAGTTTAATTACTGAGAAAGCATGATTTCTGTCTCAGTATCATCAATACAAAATGTGCTCACCAGAGATAAAAACAGGACAAGCATGCCCAGTATTAGTAATGATGCTTCTTTCAAACTTCATTTAGATGCCTGAAGAAGCTATTGGCTATTTGCAGGTACAATATATAATGGACCTTTGGTACTCACTGAGATTTGGTTCCAGGACCCTTCATGGATACCAAAATCCATGGATGCTCAAGTCTCATTAAATACAATGGTGTAGTAAAATGGTGTCCCTTATATAAAATGGCAAAATCAATGTTTACTTTTTGGATTTTTTTTTAGTAATTCCAAGTTGTGCATGGTTGACTCTCTATGGATTAAAAAAAAGGTCCGTGGATACAGAGGGCTGACTATATATCTGAGGGCTTTGCAGACAGGCGGCTATAGGCCACCCTAAGAAGCCGTGGATTGGGGCTGAGGCTGCTGCACGACTCGACACCGATTCACTCTTTTTCCAGCCCTGGAAGGAGCGCTAAAATAGCACTCCTTTTGCAAGGCATGGAAAGGGTGCCGCAAGAGGCATCACACACCTCTTCAGCGTCTCTTCCAGCTCAGCGTGTCTGGACGCTGAGCCAGAAGGACGTAATTGGAGCGTCCATCATGGGCAATGACGGGCGCTCCAATTACGTCCTCAGGAAAGGGTTGGGGCACCCAGCGTGATGCTGACCTTCTCCTTCCTTGCCTCCAAGATTCCACAAAGCACCATCTGCAAAGGGGGTGAGCGTTCTTATCTTTGAGCATAGGAAGCTCGCTTGTGGCTAACAGGGTTACCACCATTTAATTTTTCATTAACCATGAATTTATCTGGTGTGTTGTTTTTTGTTCAATCAACAGCATACTGGGATAAAGTCTTTCAAAGAAAGACATTATAACAGGACATGCAAATGTTGGTAAAATTGCCCCATTATGCTTTGCCATCTGAACAATACAGAAAATAATACCCTTCCATCAAAATCAAGGAACATATTAACACAGAACATTCAAGTTCTTTTGCCACTTAAGGCAATTTTTACAATTTTACAATTTTCTTGAGGAAAGAAGAAACAATGGAATCTCATAGACATGTTGTGCAAGAGACATGCCTGCTTGTGCAGATGAAAAAAGAGACAAATTCAGCTTACTAGGAAGATGCCTCCCCCAAACTAAATTGGTGAAAGAATCACTTACCATTGCATTTCCATATTCTGAGAAAGTAGTTTCCTACTTGATGAAGTGGATTGGAGATCTTGAAGATGTTAGTCTTTAAGGTTCTGCATGATTCTCTGTTTTTTCAGCTGCAAAAGACAAACACAACTACCACTATGGAAGTTGTTAACATTGTACTTATAATTGTTTTTTTTTTTTTTTAAATCCTTAATGTTCTTCTTTTCAAAATAATGGAAGTTACTTTGAAAAATCTGACTGCTGGAAGTCCCTGTTCTGTAATACACAATACAGCCATGATGTCCATCTTATCATTACCTGAACTCTTGCAATAAAGCATGAGGAGGTAACATAAACCATGTCATATTGTTTAAATCACAGCCACATAAAAAGACAAGTAACTAAAAAGTTAGAGTTACACCACCAAACAAGTGAAGCTATTTCTCATTGCATTACAGTCACAAAGTAACTTAGGTATTCCTTTGTTATCAAGTAAAAGTATTTAAAAGAATGAATGATTTGTAACTACAGTTGTCCCTCCCGATTTGCAGGGGATCCATTCGGGACACACACACCTCTGTGAATTGGAAAAAAAATGCAAATATTCAAAGCCCATTGGTTAAATGGGATCCTGGGCTCATGCCATTTTGTTCCTTCCCACTTGCTGTCCACAAATGAATGAGACCATGGACTCTAAGTCTGCAAACAGGGAGGGACAAGTGTGGTTCTTTGCAAACTCTATAAATTTTACAATGATCAATGGGGCTTTGAATTGGGTGTTTCCAGCTGTAATTTAAACAACCAACCTTGCTTTAATCTCTCATGTTGGGAATGTCTAACAATCTACCCTTTTCCATAACAGTCATAACTATTATTGTGACAGAGACTGTAAAGTCACCTTTGTTTGATTTAACTGACCTTTATATGTTCTTGTTGTTTCCATATTAATGAGATGCTAGTACCTCAAGTACATTTTTGTTCACTGGTTTGGAAAGGAGGATGACATTCTAATAAACTCTGTGTTTTATTTCCATTGCTCAATTTCTTCATGAAGGAAAATAATGGAATCTCATGGACATGTTCCACAACTGACATTGCTAACCTCTTTCGGAGTTGCCATGACCAGTCATCTGAATTTGTATGTGAGATACATTTTTCAGCAGATCAAAAAATAGGCAAATTCATCCTACTGGGAAAACAAGCTACTGGAAGAATCAGTATAAAGGAAACAAAAACAAAAACAGGTTAACTGAATGGAAACTATAGAGAAACATCTAGGTTAAATATGAAATTATGTCAGAAAGGGCCATCTTGAATTAGAAAATGGGGAATATGAACTGCTGAATCAATTTTAAATTTACAACCCATGACATCAGCCTATGTAGAAATTCAGGTACTGCACAGATAAAATAGCAAAAATCACTCTAAAGTTCTTTTCTTCTAATTCTCCATCAATAATTCATCTGTGCAGAGGAAAAGGTATGAATGGGGTTATAGGAAGTGTATACAAATTCCTCAGTCCTGGACTGATCAGGCATAGAGTGCATGTTCAGATTCCCATGCCTAGCACTAAGCTGGTCTCTTTGCATAAAGGCATTGATTGGACTTCTCTGGGGGAAGTCAACACCATAAGATCTTTTTAAAGAAAAATATGGAAAGAAGTTGTTTATTTTCTTGCATTTATGGTAGATTGTGCCTTAAATATTTTATGTACCCAAACAAATTGGCATGTGAAGTTTTGCAACAGATTACTGAATTGATATTTCTGTCCTGGCTAATACTGTATAAAACACAAAATTGAGTAAGAAATGAATTGATACCTAAGAAAAACCTAAGGCCAGATAAATAATCTCCTTTTTTGCTGTCAGCAAAAGGAAAGAAACAATGCTATTGCTATTGCTACAAGTTCACTGAGAAGATATATTATCTATTATTCTGTATTATAAATCATCAACATTCTAATGTGTGTAAACAGTTACACAGAGTGTGTGACAGGGATAGTTAATGGCATGCAAATATTCAAGCAGATGCCATGACAAGGATAGTTAATACTATGTAAGCAATCAAGAAGAAATAGTCAAAGTATCTTATTCAATATATTTTTGAAAATCAGTTACATTCCCTTCTGCTATAGCAAGTCTGTACGACTTGTGACCTAGGACTTTATCACACAGGAGGCAAGCATCCTCCTCCCATGAATAAAGTACATTTAATCCCATCAATATCCCACAATAGCAGGATGATTTTTCAGATGACATCCCCCAACATTGCCATTATGGGGACGTTATCCCATGAATAAAAAGCAGCATGATTTTGCCACTTTATTCACAGGATAGTATCCCAGTAATGGTGATATTTGGGGACGTCATCTGAAAATCATCACACTCTTGCAGGATATTGATGAGATTAAATGTACTTTATTCATGGGATTGCTGCCATGTGATAAAGTCCTCAAATGCACACATCCTGCACACATTCTAAGGCATTTGACAACACAGCTTTACACAAATACTGCTAGATGGTACACAGATGGTACTTAAACCAGAGACAAGGAAGCTCTAGGTCTCTAAGGGACATTATTCTGGAACTAGGCCCTTCAGGGGAATACCATATGGAACTGGAAGCAATTGGAAAGTCACTTCTATTGTGTTGTTGTTTTAAACAACCCTACTTCCACCTTAATAAGTATATAAACCCTTGATCATTTTGTCCTCACATGCAAGGATGAATAGTTATGCTAGTTTCTTCCTACTACAATAATAATAATAATAATAATAATAATAATATTCCTCCTCAGAATTCTTCCCATATCAAAATATCATGCAGTATTATGGAAGACAGAGCCAGTGTAGTGTAGTGGTTTAAGCTTTAGACTACAACTCTGGAGATCAGTGTTCAATTCCCTGCTCAGGCATAAAAAACCCACTGGGTGACCTTCGACAAGTCACATACTCCCAGCCTCAGAGGATGGCAATGGCAACCCCCCTCAGAAGAAATTTGCCAAAAAACAAACAAACCCTATGATAGATTCGCCTTAGGGTTGCCATAAATCAAAAATGACTTGGAGGCACACAACAACAATTGTGGAGGAATTATTCTTTGCACACGTACACTAAACACTACACACACAAACATTTATAAGACCACATGTTTTTCTCTGCAGAACAATCCTCTGCAAAAATTCAGGACATTTGAATATAATCTGAAAAAAATGTGCAAAATTCTCCTTCATCTATTATTCTTCTTTATGGTATTTCCTGACTGTCAGAAAACCAATTTTTTAGTCAAATAATTATGAATATTACTGCAATTCTTAGACTTTAATGGGCAAAATATTGTTTTGCAAAGTAAGATGCATATATGCGAGGTGCAAATCAAATAGAGTGGGACCTCAGTATCTGCGGACTTGCCATTCATGGACAGCAAGCCCACATCATCCCCAACGGCAGCACGTGCATGCAGTCATGCTGCCATTAGGGACAATGAGACTGAAGTTCTCCTTCCTTCCTTCCTTCCTTCCTTCCTTCCTTCCTTCCTTCCTTCCTTCCTTCCTTCCTTCCTTCTTCTCTCCCCCCTCTCCTTCAGAGGCTTCTGGCTTCAGGTGTGGTTCAGAGGCAGAGGCCAGAGCCCTGTTGGAGTTGGAGCTGGAGCCAGAGCTGGCACTGGTGCTGGAGCTTGAGTCTCAGAGCCCCCCTCCCCCAGGCCCAACACCCAGGATGGAACCTCCAAGCTCTGAGACCCAAGCTCTGACTTAGGCTCCCTTCAGCCAATGGACTCCTGCCTCTGCCCCCAAAGCCAAGCCTGGGGCAGAAGCCTTGGAGGGGGAGGGAGAGAGGACTTCAGTCCCATTGTCCCCAAAGGCAGCACGGCAGCATGGCTGTGCCATCATTCAGATCAATAGGACTTGAGCATCCACAAATTTTGATATATGTGTGGGGGGGGATCTGGAGTGGATCCTCCATAGATACCAAGGGCCACTGTACCTTTTTTTTCTTGTTACTTATTTATATAGTACTACTATGCTATTGTTCTTAGGAATTTAAAAGTAAGTATAACGTAGCAGCACAAATTCTTCAAATAGGGTGAGTAGCATTGAGTTGACTATTGCCATGTAATCAAATCTTTTCAAAATCATTACAGATAATGTCACAGTGAATTTGAATTTCATATCTTGCTTCATTTTTACAAAAATGTAGCATTTATACATTACTCCTGCTAGGATTGCATCAATGGGACACAATCTATAAAAGCAAAACAGTTGACATTAAAATTCTGTGTAATGGGATTTGGCATTTCTTTCATCTTAACAAATGAGGTCAAGATTTTGTCAGGATATTCTGTCTTTGATAATTTAATTTTGACAAGCCCCAGTACTTCTAAAAGATTTCTCATATTTTTTTTAAAAGCAGATTAGTTTAGACTTAATTAAATGATCATGTTCAATCCTTTATAATCCCTCCTTTCCAGTCCTTTGATCATAAAACTAAGTATATGAGCTAAGAGTTGTGTGATTTATTAATTTTTGGGTAGCTCAATTTGGTCTCTGTTTACACGCTAATAGCATATAAAGAAATAATCATTATATTAACTTGGGACACTTTGTGATTAATGTATTATTAGTATACAGATACAAGCTCTTTATTAAAGTGAGCAATAAATTTCCCCTTTTCACTGAGAAAAATATTCAGTACTGAAGTCAGCATTTGTCCATATTTTTCTCTGCTTACACCTGTACTTCCCCTCTCCTTCGCTACTTCCTCATTGCCTTTTTTTAGTTCCATGAAAGGAGAAAAATGTCCTGTTTTTCTCCTTGTACAGCACCCAGTGCTGATGCTTTCAGTGCCATCTTACTGTAAGTTGCCTTCATGTACTGAGAACAGCTCTGCTAACACCCACCTCCACCTCCACAACACATTACTATATAAAAGAATGAGGTCTATATTAAAAAAGGGTCGGGACATTTTCATTTTCCTTAAGTATATGTTAATAAAATCACTTCTAATGGAAAGCATAACAGTCCAGCAGTTACAGAACTTTTTATCTGCTTAAATCTCTACATCTATGTTGCCCTTCTTTTTCTGCTTTCCCCAGCTCATCTTTCCTCCAGCCTCTGCAACTAGATTTCTTCTTTCCTTTTTTCTGTTTCCTCTTCCTTTCTTTGCTCCTGGGCTCAGATCCTCAAATCTGAGTCCAGCATGCTAAACAGGCCTCAGTTTATCAGAAAGAATGAAGTGCAGCAGGAAGGGACTATTTTCAAGAAATAGAAAGACTAGAAAGATTCCCGTTCTGTTTTTTCCCCAATTTTTGATTTTGAAAAGAATTCAAAAAGTGCTTTGTAAATAAACCCAGTGCTCAATAAAAAGTAAAATGGTTACATTTCAAAGGCTAAAGTCCAAAGTATGCTTACCATAGGAGTATGTCGTATTGAGATCTTAACTTCTGAGTAAACATATTTAGAGTTTATTTACTATATATTCAAATATTTATGTAATTATTCATTTATATTCCACCCTACATCATAAAATCTTTGGATGACTTCCCAAAACACTAGTTTATATTATTTAAAATAATTCAATATTAAAAACTTTAACATAATTTAAACATTATAAAATAAAATCTAATAATTAAAAAAAATCAGTTTAAAATTGGGGCTAAGAATTAATAAGGTAACTTTTTTCTCCCTGTGGTAAGAAAATTCTCAAAAACTGATTTTCATAACTATTCACAGCTCAGGATTCATTCTGTAAAAAAGCTAGACACAAGATAGCAGGAATTTCAAAGAAAACAGCATTTCTTTCTGCAGAAATGTTTTCTGCATAGAAAATCTTGCATTCTGCACAAAAAACTACTTTTCTCCTCAGAAAATGGCATCTATGTGCAGAAAATGCATGTGCAAAACAAACAAAAAACATATGAGGGCGTATCGTAAAGTAATAATTACCACCTGGAAGTTATTATGCTATATTGATGAAATTTTGTCAGTGTCATC